GGTCCTGTTTGGCTGTTAGTGTCAGCAGTAGTAGGCTAGCTTTTGGGAGTCGGCATACATGCTTGTTGGATGCACACAGCGACATAACTTTTCCCTCTGGCTTGTCTTGCTCTCGGTTTGTTCCCTTGTGTACTGTATATGTATTTTAAATGTCTCCAGAACATCTTGTTTTGTATTGAGTAAGGAAGGCTTAAAACACTGCCAGGGTCTTATTGCTGTGCCTACTGGGTAGATCTACCCTTTTATTTTTGTCACCATAACAGATAGTGATGAGATACCAAAGTGTTAAAGTTGTTACCAGAACAGAAGGTGAAGGTAGATCTTCCAAAAGGTGAATTTTCATCTCTTTTTAGAGATTTGCTCACTTTGTTACATCTGCAGGACAGAAAGTGAAGCAAGATCTACCCAATGTTACACATAAAAAAAACCTGATCTTTGTGTACTCTATTGAAAACTATATATAAAAAAAAAAAAAGTTCTCTCCTGATTATTTTGCCTTTCCCATTTTGCTCCTTTGCAGCATTTATTTGTCCCATGAACGGCTGTGCAGTTCAGAGACACCAATGTATACTGGAGTTTACTGAAGCTTATGTACATTTTGTAAAGCCATAGGCCATAGATAGATCTAATTTCAGCGGGGACCGGGCAAAATTCTATCCTCCTATGGGTAGGCTGGTTGTACTGAAGTCGATCCATCGATTGATATCTGTCCTAAGTCTGAACTAAAGTCAAAGGAAGTTCCAATAAAACTGAAATCTGTTATGCTGATGTTCTTGTAGTAGTTGCACAATGTCTCCACATCCATCTTCCGTTTGCCCATTACTTGGGAAACCTAATAACAGCCAGTAAAGTGCAGTAGTTTCCAGAGGGAAAGCGGATGTGACAACTAGATGGTGGTGTGTGGACCTGATAAAATCAAGAGTCTACAACAGGGGTGTCAAACGGTGGTCTTCCAGCTGTTGCGAATCTACAAGTCCCATCATGCCTCTGCCTTTGGGAGTCATGCTTGTAACTGTCAATCTTGCAATGCCTCATGGGACTTGTAGTTTGGCAACAGCTGCAGTTTGATACCCATGGTCTACAAGGATGCATTTACTTTTTATTATCTGTTAGCAGCGCTACATCACATATTATTAGCATTTATGTAGGAGGTGCACAAATAAAACATCAGCGCAACAAACTCACCAACCTCCTGTGTATACTAGTGCTGCTGACACTTACATGCGTTTCCACACACAAATAGATATGTCATATATTAGTGCCTTGCGTATAACCCTATATCCTTCTATATATCAAAACATCCAGAAGATGTGATAATTAAACACTTATGAATGCAATGATTACAACTTTAAGTCGGGCAGCACAGTGGCTAAATGGTTAGCACTTCTGCCTGGCAGTACTAGGGTCGTTGGTTCGAATCCCAACGCTGGCACCACCTGCCTGGAGTTTGCATCTTCTCCCTGTGACTGCGTGGGTTTCCTCCGGGTACTCCGGTTTCCTCCCATTTAGACAGGAGCCAATTCACTGGTAGGTGAATTGGCTCCTGTCTAAATTGTCATTAGTATGTGTATGTATGAATGTGAGTTAGGGACCTTAGATTGTACACCCCTTGAGGGTCAGGGACTGATGTGAATGTACAATATATATGTAAAGCGCTGCGTAAATTGATGGCGCTATATAAGTACCTGAAATAATAAGTCCTTCATATGTGGTTTTATCTGTGCATATATGATTTATTGCCAAACAGGTGCTCTTTATGCCTTATATCCACATGTATTCTTAATGGTGCTCCTCCACCAGAGACATACATATATACTCTCACCTCCTTATATGACCCAAATTGCATAGGCATTTCCCTTTTAATCCGGGCAGGTATATTGTATGGTTGGCTCCACTCTCCTCCTCACTCCTCTGCAAATGGTCTCATCCCCTCTTTTATTCCACATATCCTTTGGTCGCACAGGAACTCCTAACCTTGCGCATTACCTCAGTGAGTAAAGGGTGAATTTATTGAATTGAGATATATACTCACAAAAGTAGCAATAATACAAGCATATAAAATCCAACATCAGCGCACTGGATTATCAGACACGTGCGGGTCCCATCGAGGGGAGACTCTCAGGATGAAGCTGACGTGTTTCGAAGGGGGATCCTTTCTTCCTTAGAGCTTCGAAACGCGTCAATTTCATCCTGAGAGTCTCCCCTTGATGGAACCCGCACGTGTCTGCTGTTCCAGTGCACTGATGTTGGATTTTATATGCTTTTATTATTGCTACTTTTGTGAGTATATATCTCAATTCAATAAATTCACCCTTTACTCACTGAGGTAATGCGCAAGGTTGGTGCGCTCTTACTTTTGTTCTTCATAACAGCTGTTATTGGGCCTTGTGTTAGAGCTGCACAACTTTTGATCGGCTATTAGACGAACTTTCAGTTATGGTTCAACCCGCTGAATTCTGATCTGGGTCTCTGAGTGCAGGAGGTTTTGTTTCTGCTTCCACAGGAGCTCCTCAACTATGCAATTTGGGTCATATTAGGAGGTGAGAGTATATACGCATGTCTCTGGTGGAGGAGCACCTTTAGGAATACATGTGGATATAAGGAATAAATCATATATGCACGGATAAAGTCACATATGAAGGACTTTAAGTTGTAATCATTGTATTCATAAGTGTTTAATTATCACATGTTCTGGATGTTTTGATGTATAGATGGGTATAGGGTTATGTGCACGGAACTAATATATGATATATTTATGTAGAAAGATTTATATCTACCTGAGGCCAGTCATTTCACTGGGTATATGTAAAAGTTTACAACCACTTTAACCTCCATGGCAGTATTCCCGAGTGTGTAGCTCGGGGTAAAGTTTCAGTACCCCAAGGTACACTTGGGCTTACCATGCGGCACTGCTCCGGCATCTGTTCTTCACTTACCTTGTCCTGCGCTCCCGCGATGTCCCTCCTGCAGTATCCCCGGCATTGTCCTCCGGCTGATGGCGGCATCTGTCATCTGGGTTCCGTTCCCTGCGATGTCGGGACGTATGGGGGATGGAACGGCGGGAATTTAAAAATGACAAGTGACATTCACTAATTATACTAAAATCACATAGTATAACATTACTGTACCAAACCATTTCACATACATTTTGTCCCGAGTGCTTTGTCCTGTGCCCTGCCTGCATTTTTACCGTTCTTTCTGCCTGGAAAACGGTGAGAAACGTCCACGGCGTCCAAAAAGCGTCCCTTTTTGGACGCCGTTATTCCTAAAAATTACAGGCCTACAATAAAAAAAATACATATTTCCATGCAAAAAAATGTACCACTTTGAGCACAGAAATACTGACATAATCAGACCGCTAGGGAGATTAAGAAGAAATGTGGAAACTTGTTTTATTGACAGTCGTCTAGAAGAGGATTTACCTCACGTGTGAGAAATTTCATTTTGGTTGTGTCTGCGAACAGACAGTGACACGGGGGAAGATCTCCTCAGTGGGACACAAATGGGGAAAAACGCAAGGGTTTCAAACCTACTTCAAAATGGGAAAAGTTTGGCTTTACATATATTGCTAGTAATACTAAAAACTGTATGACTGAAATAGAGCTTTATATTTTCCTCCTTCCATCTCTTGCACGGCACAAATCAGACTTTTGCTGTCCTGAAACAACCCATAACATCTTTGAAGTAACAGTCATTTCCATGAAATATATCTTTTAAAAATCAGTTTGCACCAAAGACACCATAATTCAGGTACATGATTTTTTGTTGGTCCTGGTGCAACAATCACATTAGACCGAATACACCAAATATTTTACGCTGTGGTGTCTAATATTCAGTTTCATATAGCATGATTTCTAATTACTTCTCTTTGTGTATGGATAATGAGGGAGGATGTCCATAGTGAGCCAGTCTTGTAAGTATGTCTTTAGGCATCTGGAGAAGGAGTTCAGTATCTTCCTTAGTTCAGTGAGCAGGCAGGTGACACAGGAACACAGTGAAAAATGTGACTGCGCTATGCTTATGACCATGATCAATTCATCAATATCAATAAAAAAAGACAAATTCATCTGTGCACCACAAGCATAAAAGGACATCTGCATTTGTAATTTTTTTTGTAAAGCGGTTAATCACCGTGTGATATAAAGATCATCAATAATAGTTCATGTGTCAAAATTCCTAAAAAAAAAAAAAATCAATGTTCATAGAAATCTCCGTGCAAAGAGAAAAAAAAAAGTGTCTCAAATTCACAGTAAAGTGCCATAGTGCTGAAGTGCAGATGAAATCTCAGTGATTCATGAACTTTTATCAATGAATTACATGATTTATTGATGATTAATCACCCCCTTTTTTTTTTTTTTTTTAAACAAAAATATTTATTGCTGAACTACAGATGTCATTTTGTGTTTGTAGTACCCAGATGAATTTGTAATTTTGACTTATATTGATGATAGTCATAAGCATGGCGCAGTCACATTTTTCACTTTTTTTTTATGGCATTTTAAGCTTTTTAGGGACCGCAGCTGTGGAGAGTTTGGTTAGTGTGTATAGGTTCACTTGGCACAGACGTGCTTGAGAAAAGGTGACACAGGCAGCGAAAAAAATTGCAACAGCACATAGTGGTGTCAGCATCCTGGGTGCGCTGTGTGGCAGGGATGTGTAAATCACAAGAGTGACTAAAAATATTACATGTATTTTGGCAGGTAAAAGGTGTGTGTATGTGTATGTATATGTATGTGTGTGTGTGTATATGTGTGTATATATATATATATATATATATATATATATATATATATATATAATCTCTGAAAAGAACAATACCGAGATGATGCCTGTAGCTGCAGGCATCATCCCTGTGTGTATGTATATGTGTGTGTACATATAAACTGAAAAGAACAATACCGCGCTGATGCCTGCATCTGCAGGCATCATCCCGGTGTTGTGTGTGTGTGTTCATCTCCCTGTAGTTCTGCTTTAAACATTGTGATTTTCTTTCTTTACAGGCATTTATTAGGCGATGTTTAGCTTACCGCAAAGAAGACAGATTTGATGTTCACCAGCTGGCGAATGACGCCTATCTTCTCCCACATATGAGGAGATCCAACTCTTCAGGAAACCTGCACATGTCAGGGCTAGTGGCCTCTCCCACCACACCTACGTCAAGCATCATTTCATACTGATACTCAGATCTCGGCCGGCATGAATCCTCCTACACTAGCTTTCAGGTGCAAGTTTTAGTTTGAAGCCGAAGCAAAGATTTGAGTATTTCTTTTTAATTTTTCCCCATGACAAAGGATGTGTTTGAAGACATTTGTGTGTTCTGGGGGATGTATCTTCTTAGTGTTATTTGTATGATGAGCGAAGACAAGACTGTGAAGACCTCTATCCTATGACTGTAATGTTTGACCTTGGCCTCGGTGTGCTATAAAGCCATTTTCAAGCTACTGGGAATAACCTGGACTCCTGTCTCCTGATCCCTTGTAATATTATAGGTTAGGGGCCTACTTCAAGACGCACGTAAGCTTGAATTTGAAACCAGGTTTGATTGCTGTTCAACATGGAGATTTTTTTTTTTTTTTTTTTTTCCGTTAGAGGGGACTTTGTAAATATTCTTTGTAATACTAAAACACAATTGGTTGATACTGGAGAGTTTTAGCATGAAGGGTATTTTTCATTATTTACTAAAGCAAATTGAAATCCAAGATTAAAATAACACTTGCATAAGGGAACGCTTGCTGCCCAGTCTCGGACAACTGTCGTTGAAACCAAAGCTGAAAGAGAGGGGTAGTCACAGTATATATTTTCTGTATCTTTTTTTTTTTTTTTTCATACTTTGAGCCACATATATATTAAGCTTCTGAAGGAAAATGTGGAGGTGTTTCCCATAGCTGCTAAGTTCAATCTGGTACTTGTTTCTAATGGAGGTTAGAAAAGTACAGGGAGAACTTGGTTGCTAAAGATGACACTTCCACATTGCTTTCAGACACTGCACATGAGGACCTGTCACTTTGTTTTATTTTCTGTTGTAAAGCTTTGAGTTGCGCACTCACTTTCAGGATTTTAGGTCTCTATTAATCATTCCACCTAATTACTTGTCCCTTTCTTTTATTTTTTAATTCTTGCACACATCACACATCTAGTAAGGTACCAAAAGCTCTCAAAACTTTCTGAAACGTTTTCTATGCAGGATAATGAGAAATTCCCTTCTATTGCTGGTGTATATTGTTGTACAGATGTCATTTTCAGTTATACATGTGTTTTCAGCAGCTTTTTCCCCCTGTACAAATGTTTGAAAGTTCCTTTTTTTTTTTTTTTTCCCCCTATTTTATTTTTTTTGTCTCCTTGATGGCGCTATCATTTGCTGCTAAAATAACTTCTCATTTTGCAAATCGATAAACTGCTTCTGTAAAAGAAGCTAATCAACCCGCTTAAGGTCCTGGACTCTTCATTAACAAGCATGTGTAACCCATCATAGACAGTACCGTGAGCCTGTTCCTGGTATCTTACATTGGCATGTTGATGATGACATAATAAGGAGGTTTTGTTTGGTCATTTTACCTTTTGGGGAGAGCCTCAATGCAGGAGGCTGTCAGTGTAAAAATACTTTGAATTCCTTCTGCTGGCTTAAAATGGTGTTAGATCACAACCTACATGATTCTTATTATTATTATTTTTTTTACTTTCTAATAATCTAGTATGCTAGAACTGATTTTCCAGACCGCTGTACTTCTTTACTGCACAACCGTGAGGCGGCACTTAGCTGACAGAATCGAGCAGCTGTTTCGCCGTGTTGTAATAGCTCGACAACCTCTGCAGCATCCAATAGCATTTATAATGTTTTAAAGGCAATTGTGTAATTATGTTCATGTTACAGAAAAAAAGAGGCTGTATTAAGGCAGATAACCATTTAATATTGTACAGTTGACTGTGGCTCTCGTTTCCAATGTTGCGATTTCATTTTTCATTGTACATAAATATACATTAACTGTCTCTTTAAGATGCTGCTGAAATGTAGAGAATGTAGCCAAACAGTAATAAATAATGACATTTAAATTTAAAGTTGCTGTATTTTTTCTTCCCCTTTGTAACCAAAATGAAAAGTGGAACCACTGAAATACAGATGAAGTACTTGGTGCCTGCCCAGAAATTCAGTTTTTTATCCTTACACTTTTTTGCTGCATCAGGCCATCCTACTCATTTTGTAGGTCAGCTGGGGAAACCCCTTTGCCCATACATTAGGGTAAAAAAAACTTGCGCTCAGCTCTCTGGTGGCCTGTGTCCCCTATTCCGGATCTGCAATTTCCGTCAATCCCTTCAGCATTCTGTACTTTCAGGAGTGTCAGATCACTGTGCCCCCCCACCCCTTAGAGGCTGCAGTGCTAGACAAAAGGTAAGGGGACAAAAGGTGCTTCAGCACGGATTATAATCTCTACTGCAGGGAACTGGTCTTTAGGACTTTCCTTTTACACGGACCATTTTGCTTCAAGGCAAGAGATACATTCCCAAGGATGCCCACTGCAGGGTCCTTGCTGTTTCTCACATACAGAAAGCCTGGTGTATGTTGGTCAGCGCAGATGCACAGCCCGGCAATCTGTCCGATTTAAACCTGCATCACAAGATGAATATGATTGATGAGATACAGCAAGCAGAGAGAGTTCCACATATTCAGACCCACAACCTCACGTTTGAAGCCGTCCGGAATCTAGCTGCTGTGGATTACAGGGAACTTCAAGTAAGTAAAGTGGAGTGTGCTTGGCCGTTAATGAAAAGGATAGTATAAACAGCTGGAAGCAGAAGCGTTTCAAATTTATTGCTGCAGAAAGTGTCGCCTCACCGCCACCTGTAGCTTCCTGCATTTCCTCCACAATCTGCAGTCCTTTCTACCCTACAACGTGAATTTCTTTAAATAAGGTGTTGACGCTGATTACCCAAATTACTATACATTGAATGATGCAGGAATTCTAGTAAAATCTGGTGATACTGCTGCAGCATGCCTTGGTTGTGCTAGTATCCTAGGATGATGAATGCCCTCCCAGAATTAGACGACCGTCTTTTGGCTATAGTGTGGTCAGGAAGCAGTTAAATTACATTATATTACAATTTGGCTTGTGTAGCAATTGTTTATACTATGTTGTATATTCATTTTTCTTGTAATTTTTTTTCCCCTTAGATCAGGGGTTTCCAGACTATCTAAATAAACGGCTAGCTTACTGTCCATCAGACATGGGGGGGGACCAGACTGTGGCCAGTGAGTATACATTGTCTGAGATTTAACAATGTTCTTAAAGAACCGCAAGCGCTCAGAAGGACACTTGAATAAATTGATTGCAAACTTGCAGTGTTCTATGTAAAGTTTGTAAGCAATCCAGTCATTAGTTTAAACACCAAGGAATGTTTATTGTAAAAAATAAAAGTCCAATAATTGTCTCAGATTTGGTGGTCAGTGGGAACATACACTGCTCAAAAAACTTAAAGGAACACTTTTTAATCAGAGTATAGCATCGCATCAGTGAAACTCCTGGGATATTGATCTGGTCCTTTAATCAGTTTTAGCTGCTTTGGTGTTAATTAAATTAACAGGTGCACTAGATAGGCAACAATGAGCCGACCCCAAAAACAGGAATGGTGTTACAAGTGGAGACCACTGACATTGTTTCCCTACTCATCTTTTCTGACTGTTTTTCACTTGTTTTGCATTTGGCTAGGGTCAGTGTCACTACTGGTAACATGAGGCGATACCTGGACCCTACAGAGGTTGCACAGGCAGTCCAACTCCTCCAGGATGGCACATCAATACGAGCCATTGCCATAAGGTTTGCTGTGTCTCCCAGCACAGTCTCAAGAGCATGAAGGAGATTCTAGGAGACAGGCAGTTACTCTAGGAGAGCTGGACAGGGCTGTAGAAGGTCCTTAACCCATCAACAGGACCGGTATCTGCTCCTTTGTGCGAAGGAGGAACAGGATGAGCACTGCCAGAGCCCTACAAAATGACCTCCAGCAGGCCACTGGTGTGAATGTCTCTGAACAAACAATCAGAAACAGACTTCATGAGGGTGTCCTGAGGGCTTGATGTCCTCTAGTGCGCCCTGTGCTCACTGCCCGGCAACATGGAGCTCGACTGGCATTTGCCATTGAACACCAGAATTGGCAGATCCATCACTGGCGCCCTGTGCTTTTCACAGATGAGAGCAGGTTCACCCTGAGCACATGTGACAGACGTGAAAGGGTCTGGAGAAGCTGTGGAGAATGTTATGCTGCCTGTAACATCATTCAGCATGACCGTTTTGGTGGTGGGTCAGTGATGGTCTGGGGAGGCATATCCATGGAGGGACGCACAGACCTCTACAGGCTAGACAATGGCACCTTGACTGCCATTAGGTATGGGGATGAAATCCTTGGACCCATTGTCAGACCCTACGCTGGTGCAGTGGGTCCTGGGTTCCTCCTGGTGCACGACAATGCCCGGCCTCTTGGCGAGAGTATGCAGGCAGTTCTTGGAGGATGAAGGAATTGATACCATTGAATGGCCCCCACGCTCGCCTGACCTAAACCTAATCGAACACCTCTGGGATATCTTGTTTCGATCCATCTGACACCACCAGGTGCACATTAGACTGTCCAGGAGCTCATTGATGCCTTGGTCCAGATCTGGGCAGAAATTACTCGGGAGACCATCTGGCATCTCATTAGGAGCATGCTCCGACGTCAGGCATGCATACAAGCACGTGGGTGCCATACAAACTACTGAGTACCATTTTTGCGTTGCTGCAATGAAATTTCAGCAAAATGGACTAGCCTGCTGCATCATTTTTTCACTTTTGATTTTCTGGGTGTCTTTGAATTCAGTCCTCTGTAGGTTTATAATTTTCATTTCCATAAAACGATGGGGCATCCTTGTGCTCCTAACACATTACCAAGTCCATATCAGTATAGATATCCAGCATGAGATTTGAGATTTTTCCCCATTGAGACTCAATATGTTTTCAAGTGTTCCTTTAATTTTTTTGGCCAGTGTAAAAAAATTACATTATTGGTGTTGGTGGGAGGACTAAGGCCCCATTGTTGGTTTCAATGGGATGAATAGTGCCCCATTGTTGGTGTCAGTGGGATGAATAGTGCCCCATCATTGGTGTCAGTGGGATGAATAGTGCCCCATCGTTGGTGTCAGTGGGATGAATAG